GCATGCTATGTAAACTTTGGATGATTCCGTTCAGTGCGAATCAGCCGAGGTGTGCCGAGTGAAGCTTAATCTAAAAATATGTTATAGGTGACGCAACCCAATGTGATGTAGAAATTTTCCAAAAGGTGTTTACATGTAAACATGTAAAGTTCAAGAACAAATTTTAATAAATCAATGCATAACAAACTATGTTTTAACATAACTTTTCCATCTGCATATGTAGCCTATTTAAAAAAAAGTACGTTTCGTGAGATCAAGGGTATGTATGTGTGTGGTGTTTGGGGGAGGGAAGCATTATTTAATTTAAAAGGTTCCAATTATGATCAAAACATTTTTAAAAATCTAATTCACAACATTAATTAGATTCTGTTTTTTCAAGCACATGGGCATCGGAGCAAGGGGGGGGGGGGGGTAGGGGGCTTTAAACCCCCCTTTTTTGCAAAGATAGACATTTTCTATGAATTGAAAATTGGGGTTTACCTTTTTTGTTGATTTAGCCCCCGCCACTTTCAATTTCCTTCCGATGCCTATGAAGTATATAAAATACTGAGTCATAAGTCACAGTGTCTGAGAATGTTATACTCTATGTGACAAATACATGTACTGTGTAAATTATAGATTTTTTTGACTTTTCCTTGGAAAGCCTAATATGTACGGGTGTGTATTTAGAGGCAAACACATTAGTGCGGGTATTACTGTCTCATGACAGCATCTAGTTTTGCTTTGGAAATGCATTCTCAACCATTATTAATATATTTTCTGAGTACAAACTTTAATTGTTTGTCTAAAGACTTAATATTCATCTTAAAATATTCAAAACATAATAAACATGAAAAATAGGGATAAATTCGTCTCCTCTACAACAATTCAAATGATACGAGAGATGATGTTGATAGATTAAAAAAATCAAGAGGCTCAGAAGAGAGACAAATTGGCGCTTTTAATTAATACTGAATGTTGATCGAATTCTAAAATACACCATGATGTCCGTTATTTTAAATTATTGTCTTTTAAAGTCATCTCATTAACAGTGCATACATTGAATGTTTAGTTTGATGGCAAATATCCTCCTAATATATATTACATACTTTAATGACAACTTTTATGTTGCAATAAAATGTGAAAATTACAATTAGTAAACTTATGCTGTAAAATCCAAGTCAACAATACAGAATAGGAGCAGAGCAAATAGGGATATCTATAAAATATGTACTGTCGGTCGGTCGCACTCACTGAGTGTCCTAGATCAAGAGCAAGGTGTATCAAAATTTATTTTATAAACCTTTTTCCTCTTTTAATCGCTCGAAAAGCACAAGCAATAGATGCTGGTATCTTTTGTTTTAAATTGCAACGATTATATATAATTAACTATTCTAAGAGATAAACAATGGTTTATTATTTTTTCTGTTGACATGATTCCTTTATAGAATATCCCGATGACAGAATCATAAAAATGTAACATCATACCATTTATTAATTAGTTTCCTTTTATTGTACAAATACAAATATATATTGGCACAAACACAATTGCAATAATTGGCAAAGGCACATCATCAATTGTTCATTATATTTAAACAGTAATCTGGTATAGAATGTAAGGCTATATATAATCATAGCTAAATTGTACATCATTTGTAAAATAATTATGTTAAGCAGTCATTTCTAGATGTAATGCATTTTTTAATAAATGAGTTTATTTTCAGTACTTCTGGACAATGGCTATTTAAGCAAAGTTTAACTTTTTGAGTATTAGACATATTTAATATTTTATCATGGAAAAAATTCATCAAATTCCTTTCAAAAGTTAACCTATGATTATTGTATTTATGGCAGATGAAAAGAAAATGAAATTCATCTTCAACTTCCCCTCTGTTACATATATTACAAATTCTTTTATCTGTAGGTATAGAAAAATGTCTTCCTTTTTCTATTGCAAGGTTATGAGCACCAAGTCTCATTCTGCTAATAATTGATCTGTCTGTTTTTTTTTTAATATATAGTGTATCCGCATCGTTTGAAATTATTAAAAGCAACTTGATAAAATTTTAGTTTCGATGAATTATGAATCTTTGCATATTCCTCTTGTATGCATTGATCTGATATTCTTTGTTTTATGCTTCTCAGAAGTGGTTTTATTGAATTTTCTTTTTTAGTAATGAATGAAAATCCCAATTTGTTGAAAATTGAAAAAAAATATTTTTAGTCCATGAGTTTGTTTTGACTGTTGTTTTCTAGATTTTAAATGCTAAAGTATTCTTGGAAGTAATAAGATGGTTCCAAAATTTTATACTTGAAACTTGTATCTATCATTGGGTCGTTTTGTGGCTGGCGAGTTTATATTAATGCCAATTTTACGCCTTTGATTTTATAATCATTTAAATTCTATAAAATACTTGAATCTGATTGCATAAAAAATGTTTTGATAATTGCATCAATAAAATCTAGAGTTCCTTAGCACTAAGCAGCCGGGAATACTTTGACTGTCTTTACACTTTGTACCGTGGAATCATTTATATTCGTGGGGGTCAATGTTCCAGTGTAATCAAAAATGTCCTGGCTCGTGGAGACGTGATTTTTTGGTAATAAGCCTTCTCTTTTTTTTCCAAAGTGAAAACAAAGAAAGACAACTCCTTCAAAGTTGATTATTTAAGTTTTCTCTACTTGTGAACAGAAAAAATGTACCAGCGGCTTGCACCAGAGAGAGTTTATACATTGTAGCTGTGATGTAAAAATTACGATTATTAGGAACAGCTTAAATATCTAGATGAGAAAGACGAGGTAAATTAATGCCATAATTGACTTAAAAACGTTTACACCCGAAACCAATTCAAGGTAATTCTCAAGTTGTTATTTACGCATGATCATGTAATAAATTAATTTCTGTAGCTTGTTAAATTTCACTGACGTCACATTTAAATTTCCAATACGATGTACAAGGAATTTGAACTCTGTCCTTCCTTAACATAGCTGAGTTCAGATATCCTCCTCTTTCATTTTTGACATTGTTATCTGTGTTACCATGACTTCTCTCTTCTGATTTATTATTGATCTCAGCCCCCAGGACACCGTGCCGTCTTTTTTCTGAATCATTTATGATACAAACAGTTTCAAATACAGGAATTTTTCCTTCTCTTTTGCTATTTATATCTGCTTTTGTGTCAACAAGTGCTCTCTTCTGTAGTTGACTGAAATAAGCAGCCTCTGTGACATCATGGATTTCCTGCAATGGTTTAATAGAAACACCAGCCTCTGTGACATCTTGGGTTTTCTTCTCTTGTTTTCTATAAATGCCATCCTCACTGACATCATAGATTTCCTTCTCTGGTTTCTATTAACACCAACTTCTGGAATGAATTATAATATTTTCATTATCATTTCAACTGTAAGTAACTGTAATTATGAAAATTTAACAAACGTTTGAAAAGCCTAATCTATGCCACGTATATCGATGCTCTAGTATTTTATTCTATGGGCTTTAAATTCAATCAATTTACAAGACATGTAACAATTAATGTAAAAATTTATTCAAGTTAAAATTTTTTTACATTAGCATTTGAATTTTAACTTTTATACCCAAATATGAAATTTAATTATCATATTTACCTTCATCTTCAACTGTAGAATTTGTAAGCAATGAAATACGTTCATGAGAAGTACTGGTGCATTGTTCGTGCAAGTCATTTTCAGGGCCATTTTCCATTATTCCCGCCAAATGATCTGTCCCTAAAGTCATTACACAAGAATTTATTTGAATATCAATTTGTTCTGTAATGATTCTAAGCTATATTCAAAACGAAGCGTCGCGCGATTTTTCTAGCTTAAATTTAAACTGTCTCATTAAACTACAAAAAAAAATTTGGATAGGTATTGTTTTTTTTTAGATCATTCTTTGTTTTTTACAATCAGGAACCGAGTTACGTGCGTTTTGGTTTTTAAATCCTCAAGTTCAGCTTTAAAACCCACATAGAGAGTGGTCCAAAATTAATTATAAACTTTTCAAATTTTAACTTGAACTCGTCCTGCGAAAAATATAAAATTATCAAAATACCGTTATTCAGATACCGTTTACACTAAATGTTAGAGTATAACCCATCAGTGTGATTTAGTAAATAGGTTTTATGTAATAAAAAGAGACGCTAAATAAAATCAAGATACTAACTATCATAACACTTTCTCGTATTATGCTTGGACTTATACCACACCTAATTTCATTTAATAATTAAATAATTTCTAGCTCACTGATTGACTAAGATCAAACCTTGTAAAATTATTTTATTTAATGTCCACCTCCATTGATCTATCGGGTGAACAACAAGATTTATTTTTTCTTATATATTGACTTAATATAGAGAGGAGATTTCAAAGATATATAAACAATTTTGGATAATTATTTCACTTCCACATGGATACCACTCAGGTGAATATCACATCCAGCTTTAAGACTTGGTGTGGATTAGGTAGGAAAATGTACAATGTAAATGTGGGTGTTCCAGGAGCCTTAATCTATTAATATTTTTGTTTAATTATCTTTAATTTGATTAATGAATCATATAATTAATCCGTTTAGGCTCGTTAAATATTTTACTTGGAATGTTGCTAAAGTATCTAGACTTATCAAGAAGAACCACGTGCTGATACCCTGGATTTTTGGCACGTGGTTATGCCCATGGTTTTTGCAGAGTGGGCTATGCTGCAAAGCACTGGGCCGTGCAAAATGTTTTTTTATTTCATTTTTTTTTTAAATATTTTACTCGTGATTTTAAGTGTGTTATCATTTTAGAATTATTCGACTGATTTAATATAACGTCTTATATCCCTTATGTACTTTCTAAAACAACCACAAATACGACTGCTGCTGCCGATAATTAAATGAAAGAAATGCCTACCGGGATTTGGTTCTTTGGTCTTTCTAAATCTTTGTTTTCTTTTCCAGAAAATAACTAGAAACAGGAGGAGGAGGACAATCCCTCTAGCACACAGTCCTCCTACGATTGCTCCAATTTCGGCGGTTTCATACTCCTGGAGTGAGGCTGTTTGAATATTTATTATCGTGCTGCTGTAAACTTCATGGTCTACGTTTATTCTAGTTGTAGTAGCCCTTGATTTGTGAAAGATATTCTCTGTTCTGTTTTAAAATGTTTATTGATCATCAAATGATAACTTCATTCATACATGTAAAAATTCGTTTGTTTCAATTATTTCCTTTACTTACAATTTTGAACAGGAAGGATCGGCAAGATAGCAGTGACCTTGTGTGTTGATTTGTTGACATGCAGGATCTTAATCAATAAATTATGAAGATTGAATATTCGTAAAGTGGTTTATTATTAGGCTGTATGCAAATTAAAAAAAAATAAAGTTATTATCTCTCATACAATTGTAATGTTCATTGCTTCTGAAAGCATCATCTGGACAGCCTTCTATAAACCCTGAGCAGTAAGTGAAAACAGATTTCCCTCAGTCGTCTCTAAACAGTTTCCTAAATACATATGATATTTTATCAATGATGATAAGACTGCTTGAGTGTAAGAATAAGATGTAAACATTCTATATTTACTTGACATGGGATTTAATCTTTGGTACATGTGTTTGGTAAATAGAACAAATGATTGTTATTGACTTTTGAATTGATTAAATAATGTAATTGATATCGATAAACCAAACGTTTTTGTTTCTCACCTCTTTGTATTATTCCCATGATTCCTTTGTAACAAAATTCTACAGACCACTCTTCTCTATGTTAGGGACACATATATACTCATCATTACCATACTTGTCACGACCACAGTCCAGTCTTGTAGATGATTTCATAACTTCTGTGAGATTTTGAGGACAGGATTCGACAAAATCATTCATGGTTGCATAGGGAATGAAGTCAATAAAAACCTTATTGTACAATCAAATTGTAAATAACACAAAACTAGCATAAAACAAAATACAATGATTTCTCTTTTAAAATATTTTAAAAAAATAAAAATATTATCGATGAGGCATACTGTTTTATAATCTAGCAACCTTTAACAAAATAAGTTGGCATTCCTCCTTATAACAAGACTGTCTGTTTCAATGTCACAAAATAGAAAAGGAATAATAAAAATTTCATAAATGACATAAAAGATCGGCTGTACCTATTTTGAAGAGAACGCGTTTTTGTTTTTTTTTATTTAATTTGTCTTTAAAATGTATAAAGGAATTCTATGTATATAGATATTGGACAACTTTGAAGTCTTATAACCAGTTAATTGTGTATTACTAGATGAAGGTGAAAAAGAGAATTAAATTTACATAATTGAAAACTTCAAGAAACAGGCCAAGTTGCATCTTAAACATTTTTGAGGAGTCATTTGCTCTTCATGACAATAACATTCCTTTAATTTTGTGAAATTATAACTGTGATTATTGATTATTAATCAAAAGAAATAAGACACTTGGTGCTTAATTCATTTTCTATGATAAAATCGAGAATCCAGATATTTAACAAAAGGCTTTGAGGAATTCCAATGTTTTTGAAATTTGCTGAAAACATGCATTTTGACTACTTTTAGCAAAGAATTAAAATATCTGTTTCTAAAAATTACATCGGAAAAACATCGTTTTGTATTTATGGAAAATAAGACACTATGAAATTTTATTTATTCAATGCAATGTTTAAAATCTGGAATTGAATTTTTTAAACCCAGGCATTCTTTACTTTTTTTCTTCGCCCGAGATTAGCACATACATTTTTTTCGTTTAGTTCGACTTTTCTACATGGCGAGTAGAATTTTTTTTGATGCTGTTTACGGAGATTTAAAAAAAAAGACAAGCAAACCATACGGTTGTGTAGATAAATTATCGTAGAAGCCAAGTCAAAATCAAAAACTGTTTTTACAAGTCTTTTATTGTAATATAAACACCGGTTCCATGGAAATAAGTTTTTTCGTACTATTTATTAAATGTATACAAAAAAACAAAATCAATGCACCAAAAATTAAAATGCTTAACAGTTCTTGTTAAGGATTTATTTGATCAACGCAATCTGTTTAGCAGGTTTGATGATAAGAAACGCAAACAAGAAGGAGCGGACGTTGTTAAGATCCCTAGTCTGATACTATTTCACTTGTTGGTTGCTTACTCTATATACACTAAATTTATAATGCAAATTGACTTTAAACATTTTTTAAATAAAACATCACTTTTGAAGTAGGTAACCGTATTTCTATACATGTCTGAATTTGCTACCGTATATTAAATAAATGATTCAAAATGATTAAACTTATAAAAGATAAAAGACCATACGTAAACAATGTTCGCTGAAAACAATAATTGAAGCAATCCATGCAAAAATCAAGGACGACAATAGATGTGTACCAGGGTCGTAACATAAAGGTTACTTACGTCTAAGACCGTGCTTAAATAGGACTTAAGTACAGTCTAAAAGTTAAGACCGTAACTAGAAGCGTTCTAAGATTTTGCAATCTTAGAAAAACTTAGGCGGCCGGTTATAATTATTTTAAATCGATTTCCGATGTTAAAACATTCCTCTATTCATATTATTCATTAAAAAAATATTTATCTCTAACTGACGCTGATAAAACATTTTTTTTCGTTTTTCGTTGGGGTGGGTGGGTGGGGGGGGGGGGGTATCATGGATTCTAATAGCACTCTCAATACAGCATACCTTAGTAAATACAAAATTTGATTTAAAAGGTACTTGGACACAGATTTGAAGTTAATATTTCCTCATTTTTTCTGTATAATATCACGAATTATATATTTTAATAGCATTTCACAAAAAAATTAATTAAAAATCTTATTTCGTTTAAAAGTTATTAAATCTTTAAATTTTTTGGCGGGTTTGATTGACACATCCTTGCACTTTCACAAATTTTAACTTTATTCTTAATCCTTGGGAAAAATTGCAATTTTTATTTGTTTTAATGAGAAATATTAAAACTGTTATCAAGAAAAATAATTTTATTCAAAGTGGAAATGTTAGAAAGCAAAACACTTTCACAAGTATCGTCATTCCGAACTAAGAGATGCGTACAGAGTTTAGCAAATCGAGCACACTCGTGTTATGTACACAGTTTTTGTAAACAGGGCTCGAGTTCTGTTATTGTTTATATATAGAATTCACCGTGTGTTCAATCGTCACAGTCTGCTTACCACAACTGCACGGATTGACAATATATTGTGTTTTTGTTTTGCTTTCGAACGTGTCTACTCTGAATTTTCTGGGTTATAGTAATAATATTTTTCATTTATACAAAACGAGATTGCCACTTTTCCTAAGGATTCAGAATAAATTAAAATTTGTGAGAGTGCAACGATATGTCAATTGAACTCGCCGAAAAATTTGACATTTCAATATCTTTTAAACGATATAAGATTTTTAATTAATTTTTGTGTGAAATGCTATTAAAATATGTAAGTCGTAATATTATAGAGAAAATAATAACTTCAAATCTGTGTCCAAGTACCTTTAAGGGATACGTCTGAAATTAGTTTGACCTCGGTTATATAAACAGAAAAAGCTTTGGAAAAAATTTGTAAAATGACAGTCCATGTTCCCTGTTTAAAAGGAATTTTTGTTTCACAGGGGGGGGGGGGGGGGGCAGATGTTTTAGAAATGTTTTCCGTTTTACGTAAAATTTCTATAGTGAGAAAGACAAGTTATACGAAAATTATAGAGTTATCTCTCTTTGATATCTTAAATAAGTAACGTTTTATGAAAATTCATATTGATATCTATAAAATTTATGAAAATCATTTGAATATGTTAACTCTTGAGAACTGATTAAGAGGTAGGAGGGAGAACAATACTACCGTTCGTAGTTCTTTGATCCAGTTGCATCGGGCAGGAAAATTTATAACTGCTAATTGTATGTATTTGTAGTTTATAATCGGGTATTCGATTACAATATGATTAGATCAGGATGCATGTGACTAAAATCCCCTAAGCCGGTGTACCGTCGACCCGGGAGAAAATTACACCGTGAACGAAATAATGAATATGGGATCATCTGTTGAGACCTACCTCTCTATTAACATTGAACAGGAAAGAAAAGACACAAAGCATTTGAAAGTTTAATAAAGTTACATCAGGTAGGAAATTTGATCCAGTTGCATCAGGCAGGGAAATATTTAACTGTAAATTCTAGGTATTTGTCGTTAATAATCGCGTATGTGAATACAAAATGATTTGATTAGGATTCATATGACTAAAATCCCCTAAAGCCGGAAAAATTCTCTCTCAACATTTTGAAAAATCACTAAATAGAATACATCGCTAAATGTAATACGTTTACAATGCTTCAAGAAAAGAACTGTTAAGATTTCCAATCTATTAATAAATTTATTCTTTTTTTTTTTGCTAACTTTGGTAAGATTCCAGATAACTATTCAATGAGGACAGTACTAGTGAAAAAATTCTGCATAAAGTATATATCTACAATATAAAAATATTGATTATTCAAATTAGTGCGTTACTTATTAAACAGATTAGAATGATAAATCAATCTAAACAAAAACACCTTGAAAACGATTTTTATTGGACCAATAAGGGACAAGGCAGGGTAACGGCCGAATTTGTCCCCTTATTTGATATAAAATTGAGAAAACTGGTAAATAAGTTTGTAGCTAAGAAATTGGAATGATGCTTGCTTTAAAACAAGCACTAATTTAGATTCAAGGGTTTCATGGAAAGCACTAGAGGTTTCCAAATAAAATCTAGATAATCAGGAGTAGAAACAAGAAATCGTGATGAATCAGAGTATAAGGCTTGAAAAAAATCTTTGGTAATATTTCTTCAACTGGGCTATACACGAATGCTGATTGACAGACAAACAGATAGATACAAGAACAGAGATATAAAAGGATGACCAAGATGACAGACACTTCATGCTCTAACCATATTAATAACATGGAAGACTTTTTTGCACCTAATATTAATATATGCTATGTACAGGGTCACAAAGTTTTTATTTACACATCTTATCAAAGATTCATTTTAGTTATTTAAATACAATTCAAGAAATCCGATTTTTTTACTACCTGACGTCCGGATTTAACAGAAACTAGGGTTCCAATGATTTATGATCTAATATTGCAATACAATATTATATGTAAAATAAAATCTAAAAGCAAATTAATGCAAATACTGTAAACGTATTTTGTTTAGCGTGTACCGTATTTAGCGGGAAAATATTTTAAACAAGTAAGCATCGATTTGATTAATCGCATTTCTTGAAGTTCTTACTCTTGTATCTAAAAGAACACGTTAATGGTATTTTTGAAAGAAAAACTGCGTTAGATTAGATGCATATCCATACATCAAAAGGCTTATAATAATAAATGTTAAAAACGCTAAAAGTTTGCATTTTAATTCAAATTAACGATAATTAGGTAAAATATTGTTAAATCCTTAACAGTTTTTAAGGCTAATTGACCTAAATATCCAG